AATTATTTTCGTCATTGCTCCGTGGTCAAGAATCACAATGGAAACACTTTTATAAAGGAATTTGCCTGTAAACTTGTTAAACATTTTAATATTTCAATACAATGAGAATAGAACCAGCACAATGGGTTGTTGGCGAAAAAAAATGTAACTTGTACAAAATTCATAAATAATCAGTAGCATACAATTTACTGCTATTAAATATGGACAATCTCTTTCACATTAGTTTCTTTTTGGTTTTATATTTCGCCTTTTTAAACATGCCCCTACTTCAAATTTGATACCATTTACACGAATTATTACACAGTTATTGCCGAATATACCTATCGTGTAGGACGGGGAATGTGTAAAATTGTAAGTTAAGTTAAATATTGAACGTAAACATAGGTGATATCTTTTGACATATATTCTTGATTATATTTACCAGTATTTTTAATTGTCTGAATACGTCGTTCTGATTTTACAGGAGTCTGTTTATAATTATTCGATTATGTTGTTTCGTATTTAGAAATAGGCCAACACGTGAATAATACTCAGCAGGGGTTTGGTGTCAACTAAAATCGGCAAAAATAATGTTTTGGACTACGGACCTATAGCAGTGTTCTCCATTACGGCCCGGGTATTTTGGGTGCATATACGTCATGAATTGTGTAACGTCGTGTAGTATGTCGAACTGCGGCAACGATTTATCCCTTAAATAAGGATTTAATATGCAACCTGGTTAATTGCGATTCCGTATATAAATCTGGCGCATATCCATTCGATAAGTGTTGGGAAAAGTGTATTTTATGAAAACGTTTGGCCTAGACCGACTTTCCAATTAAAAATCTGGCGACTTGATTGCGAAATGACTTAATACAACCCCCTCCCCATTTCGCAATTGTGTACCTAAAACTAATCTCGACAGGAGCCTGTCTATCGCTTGCTCTCAACATATAAAGTAACCATAACCGATAAAATCGTTCTAAGGAAAGTCGTCCGAGGTCCCGGAAGATGCGACATAAACACCCACAACGGAAATACTTGAATTAAGTATTAAATACTGTAGGTTCCTCAAACACTCCGGCTAGTTCCACAGTGGGAACACGACCACGAGTCCGGCATGGTGTAAGAGAAATTGCAATCATCTCGAACATATCCAGAATCTACATTGAATACACATATATTCAACTAGTTGAGAATTCAGCAACGATTGACGAGACAAATAAAAGTAGAAAATATAGCATAACCTACCATGTACTGTACACCTCAATACAATGTAAGAATTCTTTCAGATGATGAACCAAACTGCACCGACACTAATAGATTTAACGCCTCCAGCTATTAGGGAATGCGGTATGCATTCTCGACTAACACCCGTAACCGAAGTACAAACTAAATGGACTCCACTGAATGAAGTAGTTCTGTTCGCCCAACTAGCAACATATTTTCATCATTGAAAGGCACATATTTCGCATTTTAGCTTGAGTCGTATCTGTTTCCCGAGCTTAAAGTCATAGTTCAACAAAGTAAGTGAATTAAAGGTACAGGGACTTAATGGATACCAAAATCGTCGGAAATCGCCCAGATATGGTCGATCTAAATTATTTGACCCACAAATATTGTGATTGTAAATGAAGTGCGAACCTTTCTTCGCATCACGCACATTGCAATTGTATTCATCGTGTGTAACAGTACCACATACACCTGCGAGACTGGTGACTTGCAGGTTAATCATTTAAGGAGTGTACCATTATCTTCATGGGTTGGATAACTATCTCCGTGGAATATTATTAACATTAACATCTAGATTATTGGTGTGCTAAAACCACTTACTTGGATTAGTTTTTAAACGTAACCGACCCCAACAACTGAATCTTGGTTTCACCCTGAAATTAACATCGCACTATTTAAAAAAATCGCTGTGTTTTTTACCGTGTGCCTGTGTCACAACGCAAATTTTAAGCCGAAGCCAAACCGTATGAGTTAGTGTCGTTGTGTGCCATATATTAACCCACTATGACGAGCAGTGTATACTATTCCAATTCCTATATGAATGGGGCCGGCACCCGATGATACGCCGTGAAATCTCTGTGTTTAGGGTTGTGTTACTTACTGATTCCAATCTCGTTATCATAGTCGGCCGACTCTATCATGGAAGTTGTGTTGTGTAGTGAGTATTAAATTAAAGTTGTGTTGTCGGCAAAAGTGTGTTATTGTTTCCTATATAGTCAAAAGAACCATTCCATTCCATCAGTATCACTTGCGAACGCCGGAAACAACGAAATGTTGCAAACAAATATATGCCAAATACGGACGGGCAAAACCCCAATGTATTCTATGGCAACGGTAAATGTATTTTTGAAACAAAAACAAACTAAAATGCATATAGCAAATTATGGCCATATTTATTCATCAGTTCACTTAAGAAGTCACATTTGGGCGAAAGTTCTTTAACAAATTATTATTGTGAATGCGTTTTGACTCGAACACAATGCATGGATATGTTGCATAATATTTGTAGCTACATTCATTTACATATAACCTCATACAGGCAGCACAAGGACAATATAAAACCAGAAAATAATAATTTAAATTTAATTCCGATTATAATGAGAAGCATAAACTACGTTGAGATATGAACGCTAATGTAAATACTTGCATCAATGACAATTCAACATTCCCACTGAAGTCATTCACAATATAGCTGATTACAACGGTAAATGATTATGGACAAGCTTTTCGAGGTTACACGTGTTTAGGTGAGTTTTAAACCGCAATATGGCCGGGACCCAGACCAAATACCGTCTTCTTGACATTGCATAGCCTGGGAGCCAATCAAATAAAACCCGTCGTTACATGTGAAAGAGGCGGTGTCATGTAAGCCAGTTCCGGAAATAACCACATTTCCATTTTCCATCATAGATCCAATCGTTCCACAGTTGACCTCTAAACACAATGATAACAATCAAGTGAAAATAAAGCAAGCTACACGAACATAATATATTATTATACATCTATCACCGTAACGCCATATTAAGTTACAGCGTGCCGTAATTTTGCGGTATTTTACGGGGTATTTTCATCCTACCATATTAGGAAATGCGAAATCCATATATGGAATGATTACGCGCGTAAGCGTCCTCTAATATAACATGGCTACCATCAGGTTTTGACCGAACTCCACACAAAGACGTTAGCTGACTCTGTTCTAAACATTTTGGATTTCGACATTTCCATGGTGTATCCTTGGAACGAAAAGATGTATAATAATAAGGTCATTACGAGAATAGCTCAAAGTACGCACGCAGACAGTACGCCGCGCATCGACCTCCGCTGCGCGTCGGTCATACTCCAGCTGTTCTGTCTTCGTGCATACTTTGAGGTATTTTCGTAATAACCTCATATTATTCGAAATGTCCATACTATATATTATAATATAAAATAAACTGATTTGTCAATGCAATCTCACATTCTGTTTTATATCATATTTCTTGAGGATTGTTTGAATTTATAATTATTCATATATTTTTGGTAGTTTCGGATACCAGCTAATACATAACAATGCTCAAGCCTCATACACAAGAGTACTGTAAAATACTTTATTTTCGCTTAGAATTAATTTTCGCTATATTCGCTGAAGGGATGATTCAGTGAAAATAAAATCAAGCGAATATATCTTTTTTCCTATATTTTACATTCAACTCATCAAAAATCAGTGAAAATAAATTCCATACAAAACATTCAAAAAGTCTATTCAGTGAAAATTAATTCCAGCTAAAATAAAGTATTTTACAGTAATCGATATCAAATTATCCTATCTCAACTTATCGTCGCACTGTAACGTTCTTACATACCTATACACTGACTATCAGAGCCAGTCCATTTTCCTGTCATGTCACATGTTCGAAACCTTTCGCCAATCAGATGATAGCCCGGAAAACAGTTAACCGTCATTATAGTTCCATATTGAATTTCATCAAATTCCGGATATACGAGTGTACCATGGTTTGGTTTGAGAGGTTGTGGACACGACATGGCTACAAATTACAAACACGAAAATAAAAGTTTCAACAGAGAATATTGTATATTGCAACTTATACAAATGTTCAATTCATTTTTATTTCCAATATCAAAGTAATGTTCCCTACATGTGATATTTGAAAATGAGAATCCCAGACCAGAATAAAACAAAACATCTGTTACTTTCTCAGTTCTGCCATCAACGACGTAGCAATGTTGGCGAGGGAACGTATATATCCCATGGTGTATTGCTTTGATGAACTCATTAAAACGCTAACTATTTTTCACATAGCTCATTTGGCTCGCACATGGGATAGTTAGTTTTGTCACACGCTTTTGTACATACACTTTACAATTAATATGTTTAATAATGTGTTAGGAAATAACCTTCGGTGGTCAGTCCATTGAATAATACTATATTACCTTGACAATGTCTCCCGTTAGAATGAAGATAATATCCCGGATGACATTCACACGTATAACTGCCTAGAGTATTTCTACACTTTTGTTGGCAGTCATTCATCCCAGTTGAACACTCATCAATATCTGAAAATTGGAATCAGGAAACAGTGTACATTGTATATTCCTTACAATTGACCAATTGAAGTGCAAGCTGGGTTCATGTTCACATAAACTTCAACTACTAAATAATGTGATTGATAGTTGACATCGTCATTTTTTAGATAATCCTGATCTCGGCTAGTTGTTTTGCAGTTATCTTGAATGAATATATTGCCTTATCATATGTGAGTACATTGTACGTTACGTAGTGGTCGTAGTATTCAAACGAGATCGTCTTCTCAGTGCGTTAAGCACGTGACAGAAAATATTGTGATATATGCTTTTTTATTCGTTTTGTATGTGCCATATTATACATTTATTATTACGCACGACACTCTATACCTATGAGTTACGCCCCAATAAAGCATGCGCTATACTGGCACACACAGTAATATTTCTCACCTCTGCAGTGAATTCCGTTAGGTGTAAGTTCATATCCAATCGGACAAGTACAGAAATAACTCCCTCGTGTATTTGTACATGTGTCTTCACAACCTCCATTTTGTAAACCATACATATCAGTCAAACATTCATTGATATCTGTAATTATTCATAGAATTATTTTCATTATCATCAATTGTCATCGAAATAAATTCACAGTGGCAAACAAAACATTAAACACAACTGCAGACCGTATCATGCAGAGTTTGTATTTTTAAATCGGTACGCAATTAGACCAGGTGAAATCCCAAACACGTGTGGACTGAGGAATGAATAGGTTTTTCCTCCACATTGAATTTGTGGCGAAATCATCCAATTGAATATAAAACTATTCTATTTTTGAGTTTTGAGCCCTGAACTGAAGTAGCCGCTACGCTACCCATATGCAA